AGTGAGTGAGTGAGTGAGTGAGTGAGTGAGTCAGTCAGTCAGTCAGTCAGTCAGTGAATGAGAGTGAGTGGGTGAGACAGTGAGTGAGAGTGAGTGAGTGAGTGAGTGAGTGAATGAGAGTGAGTGAATGAGAGTGAGTGAGAGAGTCAGTGAATGAGAGTGAGTGAGACAGTGAGTGAGTGAATGAGAGTGAGTGAGTGAGTGAGTGAATGAGAGTCACCCAGATGTTATTTTGTCTGACAGTTGGGCACCATCTAATTTCTCACCACATTTTGCTATAGCACCGTCTCCTCAGTGTTCCCTTCATGGAAGCGCGTATGAGCTGGGATTTAGTGTGAGCCCAAAAACCATTCCTGGGATCTATTTTGGTCTTTCAATTTACTCTTACTTGGGAATTAACCCAAATGTCATGTCATTGCACCATCCAGTCTCGTCAAGCAGAACTGTACCATTGCTTCCATAATCAGTTCCCAAACATACTATTTCTTCCTGGATTGAACTAATATTTCTTGAATTGCCTATAGTTATCTTGTGAACCGGAGAATTACATGGCATTGAGTTTTATGGGTGATAAAAAATCAGTTTGTCAAATTTAAACTTTATAAACATGCAAATATTTTTATAACCCTGTCCAGGTTTTGCTTTCTCCCCTTTCCAGTGAAGGATGGGTAGTACCCAGCTTCTCACAGTCTCGGAGATGTCTAGGAGGCGGCCTGATCAGGTGCTGCAGAGAGCTTTAGTACTCTTTCAGGACGCAGCTGCAGAGGGTGGGTAGGAGCCCGACTAGGCAGGCCCAATTCCAGCTCTTTTACTACTGTGTAACCCAGGACATTTTTGTGCCTCTGTTTTCCCATCTGTAAAACAGGGATAATAAAGCTTATAGGTCTCCTATGTGGATCAAAGGAGCCCTGGCGATGAAGTGGTTAAGAGCTGGGCTGCAATCTTCAAGGTCAGAGGTTCAAAACCACTAGCCCATCCCTGGGGAAAAAGATGAGGCTTTCTACTCCTATAAAGAGTTACAGTCTCATACATCCACAGAGGTAGGCTTGCCATCTTATATGGTCACTACGAGTTATAAATGACTTGATGGCATGAGTCTTTTTTGATTTTTGTTTGTTTTGCTAACATGCCCTTGGGGTATATGAGCAGGGCACAAGCCCTAGGGCCACATGGTTGAGTGGCAAGGTCCAAAGAGATGTGTGCCTGCAGGAACGGCAGAACTGTATCTCTGAGCGTTTCTGATCTTGAATTGTAACCTGTTAACCTCATCAGTGAACCCCATGACCCATTTACAAATAAAACCTCATACTCAGGTGGTATCACTTATCCGTTAAGAGGAGCTACTGAAGCCTTAGAAGACATACTGAAGCAGGGGATCTGTGTGTCCTCTTGAGGCTGTCTATAAACCTTGACTTCTGTACATCGGGGTTCTTTATAGTACCTGCTTCACATACCGGTTTCAGTTTTTAATATTTTTCTGTTTTCTCTTCAATTGAGATTTTCTCTGTTTTATTCTGTCATTGTTGTTGGGTTGTTTTTTTATTTGATTTTGCATGTTTCTCAGTACATGAAATCCAGGATACATAGGTAAATCTAGAGATGGCAATTGAATTACCGTATATACTCGAGTATAAGACGACCTGAAAATCCACCAAGGCACCTAATTTTACCACAAAAAGCGGCATAAAAAATGTGCTGGAAAATTTGGTTTATACACGAATATATACGGTAATAGTTTCCTCGAGGAGCCCCGGTGGCATAGTGGTTACCAGTTGGGCTGCCAACAGTGAGGTAAGCAGTTTGAAACTACCGGCTGCTCTGCAGGAGAAATGAGACTTTCTACTCCCATAAAGGAGTCAGAACCTACAGGGGCTGTTCTACCGTGTCCTATAGGGTTGCTACTCCATGGCATGAATTGTTGTTTTGTGTTTAGTTTGAGAAGCATAGCAGGGAGTTTGGGGGGTAAAGGAGAGTGGGGAGCTAACAACAGTGAGCACAAGGGGACAAAAATGTCCTCGAATTGATTGTGGTGATAATCATACAACTCTTAAATACAACCAAACTATTGTAATGTATGATATGTGAATCACATGTTAACAAAACTTAAAAAGTAGTGCCTGCCTCCAGCAGATTATTGAGTGTAAGTCACAGAGTCTGCGCTGTTATCCTCTGCATTATTCATGGAGATACCAGTTGCTGCTTGCTTCTCGGGTTTCTGACCTGTTAGGAGCTACAGAAAGCCAGGTGAGCTGAATTTGCAGCCCCCTTCAACAGAGTGGGGTGGGCCAAACTCAAATGTAAAAAAAAGTAAGGTGATCTGCCAAGTTAGTGATGTAAATCCAAGTTCCCATGGCTTGCAAGGTTAGCCCCCCACATTATTACACCAAACTCCCAGCCACTCCACCGACTCCACGCATGACATCAGAGCGGGTCAGAGCTCCACTGGACTAGCTCCACTCACGACATGAAAGTCACCTGGATGTGTATGCCTCCTCATTGGAAAAGCAAAGGCAGGAAAAAATCCTGACATTGTAGCAGTTGGTGAATATAAAAGGAAGTCAAGTCAGCCCACAGATGGGGAAGGCAGCTTCCCATCGTTTCATGGAAGAGCAGTGTTTTGCTGATATAACCAGCAGTGAATTCAC